CCTGTCTTACATCAGAAAGCAAGTCGTTAAGCTCTGAGATTCTTTCCTCCACTTGGTCTATTCTGCTATTAATACTTGTGATCGCATTGTGAAGTTCTTGCAGTGTGCTTTTTAGCCCCATCAGGTCAGTTATGTTCCACTCTATACTGGCTATTTTGGCTGTCATCTCCTGCATTGTTTTATCATAATTCTTAGCTTCCTTGCACTGGATTACAATATGCTCCTTTAGCTCAGCGAAGTTCATTTCAATCAACATTCTGAAGCCTACTTCTGTCATTTCAGCCATCTCAGTCTCAGCTCAGGTCTGTTTGCTTGCTGGAAAGGTGTTGCTGTCATTTGGAGGAAAATGGGCACTCTGACTTTTTGAGTTTTCAACATTTTTGCTCTGATACTTTCTCATCTTTATTGGTTTATCTGCCTTTGATGTTTGAGGTTGCTGACTTTTGGATGGAATTTTAGTCGGTGGTGTTGTAGTTGTTGCTGTTTTTGTTTGTTTGTTTTCCTTTTAACAGTCTGGCCACTACTCTGTAGGGCTGCTGTGGTCCCTAGTCACCTCAGTTTTTCCAGTACCTGGAGGTATCACCAGTGAAGGCTCCCAAACAGCAAAGATGGCAGCCACCAAGAGTACTGATTTTTGGTTTGTTTACAAAGAAAAAAATTAGTAGCTATCATAAATTTAATATAATTAAAAGAAAACATAATATTGTTAACTCTAATGATTAGTGTCACTATATAATGGAGGGAGAGAAAAGGTATTATTTATAATCCTTCCTCAAAGCTCAAATGCCTGGCTAGACAGTGGATATTTTGAGCCCTAAGTCAGTTTCCACATAAAGTTCTTTTATATTCTTTTCTTTATTTCTATAAAATTATTTTTTTTGATTCACTACTAAAAGTTGGTAGAAACGCAGCAAAGGTCTGAAGTTTATGTCACAGTCTGGGGTACTTATTTCAACCACAGACTCAGAAGTTATATAGAGACTTCTTAGTGAAAATTTGTTTCAGCACCTTTTCAGAAAAGTTGAGACATCCGATTTAAAAGTGGGGTGCTTAGATGTTTCAATTGGGAGTAGTTGTGGGTGGATTTCTTACCCATTCTTCTGATATACTTCATTCAGAGAAGCATTTCTTTACTTCCATTCCAGCTCTTGCGTGAAGGTCTGTATTTTGTTTTATTTTAATACCTAATAATCCGCTGTTGACTTTTTTGCTCCAACAAAAGAAGAAAATCATTAAGCACTAGGAAATTGCCATACTGTTGGCAATAAAACTATTTGTGATAATCTTCTTAAGAACCTCATGATCTTTCAATATTAAAAAATATGATATTTTGGCGCAGGCTCTTTGGGCTCTCCATTAGAATGGACTTATTGTTGAGAAATATTGCTCACATCAGTCACTTCAAATTATGGGAATAGCCTTACTAGCTTTTTCAGAGCCATTATTTCAAAAACTAGTCTGAGCCCCAGCCCTCCACAGCCATCACTTGATAGTGTTCAAAAGCGGAGCCCGTACTCTTGCTCATATCTCTCCAGTAGGCGAGGGACATGCCTGGGTGGGACTGGTGTGGGCAGAGACTCCAGCATCTCAGTCATAAGCCCAGCATACACCATAGGGTAGCTCGATTATGTGGGTTTCAGTCCTGGCTCTACCTCTTATTCACTGTGTTATTTTAAACCAGTTATTTTATCCATCTTTGCCTCAGCTTCCTCATCTATAAAATGGGGATAGAAATAGTATCTATCTTACATGTATTTAGAACATTACCTGTCCAGTACTACATACTCCAAAAAAGTTAACTTTTACTACTATGATCTTTTTTTTTTTTTAATTTTTGGAATAGAATCTTGCTCTGTCTTCCTTCCTGGAGTGTAGTGGCATGATCTCGGCTTACAACCTCTGCCTCCTGGGTTCAAGCAATTCTCCTGCCTCAGCCTCCTGAGTAGCTGGGATTACAGGCGCATGCCATTATGCCTGACTAATTTTTGTATTTTTAGTAGATACGGGGTTTCACCATATTGGCCAGGCCCATCTCGAACTCCTGACCTAGTGATCCACCTGCCTTGGCCTCCCAAAGTGCTGGGATTACAGGTATCAGCGACTGCGCGTGGCCTGATCACGGTTCTTGATAATTAAAGTAGCTGCCATTACAGCTGGCCTTTGATCAGGACCTGTCACAGTGTCCTTATAATCAAATCTGTTTCTGTGCTCACAAACTCATCTGTAATTAAATGAAGATATGCCTTTCCCTGTAGCATAGGTCCTACAGTATCCTAGGTCCTCCCAAAATATGAGTTCCACTACAGTCTACTGTCCACTCTAGCATGGGTTCCCAGGGCAGCCATTTTTGTGAATCATTGGTTTTTCCTTAGCGTGAGGTTTCTTTTGAATGAGATTTCAAAAACCTATAGATGATATTGTGGTTGCTAAGTTTTCCTCACATATTCCAAAATTCTGATTTGTTTTGCATACCTGTTGTTTTATCTGGCTGCATTACTTCTGGCATGCCTATGTGACAGGAGTTTATTTCTTCAGATTGCGTATCATTTCGTTAACCAATATGCACGAAGTTCCTTTGTTAAAATAATAATTTCCATGTTGCTTGTGGAGAACTGATGAATGTATCACAGTGGATGCCTGTCTAGCCAATTTGATAAACTTAGCAGTAGTTGTTTATTTAATTGAAAAAAAGCTTATTAAAATATGGAATGAAAAAGTCATTAGCATAACTTAGACATTTTAGCTTAACTTGAAAATATGAGTGGGCATTTACTGTGACTATTTGGTGAAGGGACAAGACTTTGTAAAAATTACTATTACAAGACCTATTCTTGCTGTCAGCATACTCATTGTCACCATTCCTTTTTTTGTTTGTTTGTTTGTTTGTCTTTTGAGACGGAGTCTCACTCTGTCACCCAGGCTGGAGTACAGTGGCATGATCTCGGCTCACTGAAACCTCTGACTCCCGGGTTCAAGCGATTCTCCTGCCTCAGCCTCCTCAGTAGCTGGGACTACAGGTGTACACCACCATGCCCAGCCAATTTTTGTATTATTAGTATAGAGAGGGTTTTGTCATATTGGCCAGGCTGGTCTCGAACTCCTGACTTTGTGATCTTCCCGCCTTGGCCTCCCAAAGTGCTGGGATTACAGGCATAAGCCACCATGCCTGGCCTGTCACCACTCTTTAACGTGGATTCTGAATGTAAATATTCTTGGAAAACAACTGACATGGACAGTACCACTAAGTTTATATGATTCTCTACCCCCTAGGTCTTTGAGACCTATCTAAATTTGCTACAAGTATTTTCAGCAATTGACGTTTATTTGTTTTTATTGAAAGCATTCAATTTGATTTTCGTTGGAACCACTCTTTCTATCCTTATTCATACTTTAACATGATATTTATTAAAGTTAAACTGTTATAATAATGAGCCAAACTTCCATAAATAAATTTGGGGTGATTGACAAAATAAAACGTGATTGACAAAACTCCACTAAGGGAAGCAGAAGAAGAGTGTGGGTATTCTGGAAAGCCCGAGAAGCCAGCGGGATACTGATACCAACCACCGTGCCTCCTGCAGGGAACGGTGATCCTGAGAGCCATTGAGGTCACTGATCATTAGCAGGATTTGAACTGCGTTCGTTATAGACCTGGAGAATGATTTCCATTCAGTTGCTCTATAGTGCAAGTGGAACTTTGAATGATTGCTCTGTAGTTTTGTTCTCTTCCTCACGGAAGTACCATAATTTACTAATTCATAGTAGAAAGACTTATTTCCTGCCTATCCAAAACAAAAAGTATGGTTGATTTAATACTTTTAAAATTACTACTATTATTTTTTAATAACAAAGTTGTTTCTTAAAAGGTTATGCACTGGAGTTTATAGGCAAATAGTTTGCTAGCCCCACCCAATTTTGTGTTATTTACATTCATACTTCCTAATTACACCATTCTTTTTCATTCTGCATGCGTGGTGTGGTTCTCCGTGAATGTTTCACTTGTCATGGCTTCACAGTCTCCACCAACACTGGAATCCTGCTTACAATTTGTTTTTACAAAATTATTTGGAATTTAAAATTTTAATTACAGTTTTCATTGTTAATTTTATACTTTGATGAACGACTTTTTTGCTATGAATCAATTTTTGTGAATTAAATATCTAACACAACACAATAGAAATACTAACACAAATTTGACAACAATAAACTTGAAATAACATGAAATTACATTAGCCAAAATGTTAAGTAATTTAAGTACTTGTGATCAGACGTAGATCAACGGACAGATTTAGCAACCAAAACATATGCACAGTGTTTTAGTCCCTTATGGTTGTGAATATGAATGTAGAGAGTTTTTACTGAAAATTGTTAAGTTTCACCTTTCCAGTGTGTGAGGGATGCGCGTGCATGTACATGTGTGTACTGGGGAGATGTTGCATTGGTTATTCTTTCAAGTGAATCCCTGGCAGACTGTGACACCAGATCTGTGGGTCACACTTCTGAGGGACAATGCTGGACCCTGGTGCTGGTGCTGGTCGCCCCCAGTCTACCTTCCCCTATGGTGAGCTCTCCCATGGGACCCTTTCTTTCAGTGGCCCTTGGCACATCCAGTCCAACTCACCGGAAAGGAGAGGACCCATTCCTTTCTGGAGCTTCTGGGTCTCTCTGCACACTTACCCATCTGCTCCTCAGTGTTCAGCTTTGCCAGGGAACACTGGGAAAGGCCACCCAGGGACAGTCACCATTTCTCCTTGTGCTTACAAAGCCAGGGGGGCATAGTCAAGTGAGTCTTGCTTTAATAAAGAAAACTTGCATCTCTTATTTTGCTTTTTGTTTGCTTCTCCTTTAGACCTAAGTGTGGTCTCAATTGTCACTCCCTTAGAGTTATGCTGTTTTCATACACGCATATACAAAACTTGGTAATTTAGGACTCATGATGAGTGTGCAGGCTGCAGACTCTACTTGAGTTTTAGAGATGTACTATTCAACTGCTTTGACAGAGGCAACGGAGGAGCAGACCACAGACATGAAGCCCGTCTCATCACTGAGCAAAGATGAAGACCATGCCAGATTAGTCATGGCCATGAATGTTTACCAGCGCTAGCACCATGGACAAGGGCTGGAGAATACACCTGCAGTTCAAACCATTCTTGATTTAGCTCATATGAAACGTATGTAAAAATGGTTAAAAATGCCATTTCTTTTTGTTTTGTTTTGGTTTTTTTTTTTTTGAGACAAGATCTCACTTTGGGCTAGGCTGGAGTGCAGTGGCGCCATGATAGTTCACTGTAAACTCGAACTTCTGGGCTTAAATAATCCTCCTGCCTCAGCCTCCTGAGTAGCTAGAACTACATGAACGTGCCAACGTGCCAAACTAATTTAAAATTTTTTTGTAGAGAGAGGGTCTAGCTATATTGCCAAGTTAGTCTAGGACTCCTGGCTTCAAGTGATTCTCTGACCTCAGCCTCCCAAAGTGCTGAAATTATAGGCATGAACCACTGCCCCTGGCCAAAAATGTCATTTCCAAAGGGCATTTGTAAAACATTGATAATATTACCATGATGTAACCAAAATGTAATTACCCAAATTAAATGAGAAACAGTAAGATATTACTTCTTTTTCAGCTTTTGCATATTCAAATACACTTTATGGTGGCTCATATATACATGTATTTATATCTGGACATTAAGAACTAGAGTTTAATTATTATAATACTTCTTCTTTGACACCAACAATGTGAAGTGGTCAGGGGGTCATTGCATTTTCTTTGTACAATGAAAATGCTTAGAAAAGATATTATGGAAATCTTCACAGGGTACTTCCTTCGGAAAGCAGTAAAAATGACACCAAATCTCCCAGGTTTGCCTAGGCATTTTATTAACTAGAAATATCACATTACTTGTGCCCTATGAATCTCAACTTTAATCTTTCGATCCTTTGAGTCAGGCCCAACCCTTGATGCTTTTTAAAATATCCCACTTCCCCACTGCCTTGCCTGGACAAGGAGAAACATTTCCCTCATTCTTATGGCAAGCACCAGGCAGACTGAGCTCTTTCTCCAGTCTCTTTTCTCCCAGTCCCTGTGGATCTGCTGCAGCTGGGGTGAGCCAGACTCCTCCTCCGTCACAGCAGGGTGCCTGGTCTGCAGTAGAGTCTAGCTGGGGATCTAGGAATTTGCACTGGGAGATAGAGGAGCCCAGGAAGCAAGGGCATCTTGAGAAGCAAAGAGCACGATGGGAGTGAAAGGCTGTAGAAGCAGCCACTAGCAGGGACTGTTCTGACATCAGACTCTCCAGACCCCTCAGCTGCTCTCTAGAGAGAGGCGCATGCCCAGAGGCACTTTTATTTTATACATTTATACTTCTGTATTTCTTCTTCCTCCTCCTCCACGTCATTCACTTTGTCTTTCTCCTGGCCTATGGACAGATTGCTGTGCATTACTTTACACGGAGATATTTTGTTGCAGTGGCCTCCTGTGCATTCACACCCAGTTGATTTCATGGTTTGCTGTTTGTAAGACAGTTGGATAGAAGGTATTTTTAACTTTTCCCTAGAATACACAGTTTGTATGTGTTTTTGTTTTTAAGACTGATGAACTGGATGCACATTTAATGTATGCTAAGTATATTTGTAGCCTCTGGTTTCCCTACATTGCCTAACAAGTCTTTAGTAATATGCTAAAATGTGAAATTGATTCACATAGGGGAGTAAAGATTTCAGAATTAGAGGACAAGGCCTTTAACCAGTCAAAAAATAAGAATTCATAGCTTCAGCTACCACTGTTGTCTGATCTGTGAACATCCAATCAAATATAATTTCATTATAATCATTTTTAGGCTTTAATAAACAATTATTATCTAAAATATAGGCTTAACTGCTGGAGTTTAAAAAATATTACATATAATAAATATATGTATAATGTTTTATATAATACACATAATTATACATTATACTAGTAGTATGTATTATACTTACGGAATATATGTTATATATTAAAAAGATTATATATACACACACACATACTTATATAATTTACCTGTTTGTTTTCTTCCAGCAGTACTTTTGATTTCTCCTGCAATGCTCGCTGATGATTTGTAGGTAAATACATTATTTAAATTCATTAAAGCAATTATGGGTTGAGTTTAGGAGTGCAGCAGCAGCCCTGACCTCAAATGATGACAACTGTAGAAACTAGAGGATGAAATCTCCAAAGTCATCTACTGGTAGAGACACGTTATTGACTCCTGGGTATCCTTATCATCTCTACGGGAAAGTAAAACAACATGATCTCCATGAATACTGGTTTGTTGTCAAAAAAAAAGTGCCTTGGGATGGAGAATCCTAAGAACAGTTCTCACTTAATGAGAGGTTGCTAAATAAACTCATTCTTGCTCAAAACTCTGTCTTTTTATACTTTGTCTTTCTTATTTCCGTGGATGCTGATGAATTCTACTGAAAGATTCAGGCCTTCCAATGATTCCATTAGATAATTATTTAAGTGAATATGTGTGTATATATATATATAAAATATAATATTATACTTTAAGTTCTGGGTTACATGTGCAGAACATGCAGTTTTGTTACATAGGTATACACGTGTCATGGTGGTTTGCAGCACCCATCAACCCATCACCTACATTAGGTGTTTCTCCTAATGTTATCCCTCCCCCAGCTCCCCACCCCCCGCAGGCCCCGGTGTGTGATGTTCCCCTCCCTGTGTCCATGTGTTCTCATTGTTCAACTCCCTTAAGTGAACATATTTTGAAAAAAGAATTCATGTGGGGTATATATGTCCACACAATGGAAAAAAAGAGTCATGAAGAGTAGAAAAACTTTGGAAACATATTTGCTCAAAATGATTGATCCCTGGATGTGGCCTCCTTCAACTTACTGTAAGTTATAGAGAGCAAATCAAATGTACAAACTCTACAAAGTGCTGCTCAGAAGGCTGCCCACAGTGTCTGCAGACAGCTCCCGTCAATCAACTTTAGCCTTGAATCAATCTAACGGCAAGAGCAGAGAACAAAGGCCAAATTGGTCAGGCTGCCTTAAAAGGAGAGAGAAACACATTTTTGTATGTATTTATATCTGAAACTAACTTTACCACATTGTCTACAAGACACTAACCACTGAATCAGCTACCCTGAGTCCTCCAAAGCATTTTGCCATTATTGCATTGTATATAGCTGAAATTCACCACTTTTAGTGTGTTTTTTAAAAAGGACATGTTTTCTCGTGTTGTTTTCTAGTGACTCACTTGGTGGACACATATACAAGTATTTAGCAGTTTATGTCCATTTGTCTTGAATGCCCAATCTCTCTGATACACAATAGCATCTGTGTAACTTTGGAGTTAGAAGGCTCACCTGAAGTTTGTTTACATCCTTAATACAAGTCTAATGCCTTCACAAGTACTCCAAATATTGCATTTCCAATATCAGAGGGAAGGTGATTCAAAGGACTGTGACAAACATTCTAAGTAACTACAAATTACTCTACTTTTGTGAATTAACTTCAGAGTGCAATCCTGGGTCTGGCGCAATACATCTTGCATAATAACATTCTTACAGTCAGTGATTTAAACGGCTTTTGCATAAGTAGTATTGCATCTCCCTCAGTGCCTGGGCTTCCAACAGATACTTTTCAGCAAGGAGTTGGGAATAAATAAAGCATATTGTTAGGAAGAGATTCTTTTAGGCTATGCTTATGCTAATTTACTTAAATATATACATTAGTACCATGTGGATCTGAAGATTTAAAGGGACTATGAGAGTTCTATATGTAAACTACCCCTTTTATTTAAGATCCAGGTATTGCTGATGCAATTTTTTTTCTGTTGAATTGTTCTGTTTGTCAGAACTTATTTTTCACTTTGTAATGATTATCATCTCCATTGCATCATTCACTCTTTAACCACATTAAGTGTGTGCAAACAAGGCAAGTTGACTATCAGGCTTAGAGTTCAAGTTTGGATGGTACAGGCAGTTTTAGGAAAAAGTCATGAGACTGCCACATTCAAGGAGTTTGGGTTTTTGTCAGTTCTGTTTTGTTTTTCATTTGCAACCTAGAAGTTGAATCAAGAATGCAAAGGAGGCACGACTGGTGACTTCTTTAGTACCTGCTTTGCTGAGATATGCACGTGGTCGCTACTCTTTGTAAAAGCAGTCTGGGATATAGTGGGGACTGTCAGAGAGGAGCTGGCGGACAGGTGCCTGTTCCAGCAAGGGAGGGATGTGGGGTATATAAGTCTTGCAGGTACTTGCAGAATTGAGTAACCAGTGTGCAGAGCCATCCTGCATCCTTGGCTCTACTGAGGTAAATGCCAAAACAAGTTTCTAAGCCTATGAAATGTCTACTTAAAGTCCCTTGGTAACTCTAGGAAGCCAGGTGAGGACCACAGAAAGGCAGGAAGACATCAAGTTGATACAGTCTGAAGCCACTCGCTGTACACCTCTCTGCAGCCTCTCTAGCTCCCAAGTCTGTCCTTCACAGACAGCAAGGACTCCAAAAACCCCCTTTCCCTCAGCTCTGCAAGCCCCTCCTGGGATTCCTCTCCAGGGCCATCACAATGGCTGGGAAACTGATCTCCTGGCTGCTCCTCTGGGTCCTTAAATTGTCATCCACAGAACTTCAGAATTTTTTTTTAATATTCTATTTTAATTATTATTTATTTTTAATAGTTAAGTAATTTAACTTAATTTTTAGTAACTAAATAATACTTAAATTTTAAAATAAATAATTTGACAATTCAGAGGACAAACCACAAACCATAGCAGCCTGCACCTATTTATTCACCACGGAAACACACACACACAGACACACGAACACATATACATATACGAAAAAGCATACACAGACATGTAAACACAGATACACAAACAAGTGCACACAGATACACAAATACACATACACAGAAACATACACGGAAACACACGCCCAAACACACATACAAATGACATACAAACACACAGGCACACAGATGCACACACAAACACACAGAAACACACACACACATGCACATACACACATCCAAACACACTCACATTTTGGCACTGGATAAGGAAAGATTTGCTGAATTAGTACATATATGCATGAGATGTTTGTGGCTTTGTATTCATTCATTCTTTATTTTTGCTTATTTAACAGCCTTAATATATACGCTACATGGTTAGCAATTTCAAGAATACCTTCTTTCTAACATTTATGGGCACTGATAAGAGTGGAACATGAGGCCTGCATACCACATCAGGAACGTAACTGCCAGGCCTTGTGTAAAATCATTCCCATCCTCCTACTCTGGCACAGGTGGGATGGCTTGGGAGCCGAGTCTGAGTGCCCTCTGCTCGAGGGAACACAGCAGTGCACTCCTGTTCTTTCTCCCTCTGCTTTGCCTCACTTTGTGAGGAGCCTCACCCACACCTGTCTGCCTGGATACCCTTGTCCAAGCTTTGTCCTGCCTCATCCTAGATAGTTCTCCTGCCTCCCACTCCTGCTCCTGCCCCAGATTAGGGGAGCAACACCTTGTGGGTCTTCAGCTGTCAGGAGTTTGAATGTGGAAAACACCTTTGAAGGTCCTGAACTGGGCTCAGAGTGTGGGCCTGGTTTGGCAGTGCATTCTGGTGGTGCCAGTTTGCGTGTGTGGTTTAGAAGACGAGCATAAGGTCTGAATGGGCACATCCCCTGGTCTGGGGGAATCCTCTATCTGTGCGGAGGGGAGTGGTTTAAATGAAGGCCAGAATCGTGCTCTGAATATCAAGGGATCCCAGGGAATAGGGCTCTTTGTCCTGTTGCTTGGGTCTAATGTGGTTACCGGCTTAAAGGAAATCAATTAATGTGTGAAAAGTGGGTATAAACATCAGAGTTACTAAACAGATGGCCCAGTGGGGTACAGTGGCTCACACTTTTAATCCTAGCACTTTGGGAGGCCAAGATGGGTGGGTGGGTCACCTGAGGTCAGGAGTTCGAGACCAGCCTGGCCAACATGGCAAAACCCTGTCTCTACTAAAAATACAAAAATTAGCCTAGCATGGTAGCACATGCCTGTAATCCTAGCTACTTGGGAGGCTGAGGGAGGAGAATTGCTTAAACCCAGGCAGCAGAGGTTGCAGTGAGCCAAGACTGTGCCACTGCACTCCAGCCTGGGTAACAGACAGAAACCCCATCTCAAAACAAACAAACGAACCAAACAAAAACCCAGATGGTCTACTAGGGGAGATGGACTAGTAAACAGTTTTTTATGACATGCTGTATGAAGTGCTATCACGCACAGGATGGGCTTCTGAAAGATTGTGCTGGCTTGGCTGACTTCTGAATGTTGGGAAAGGTTTAGCCAGGTGAGAAAAGGTAAGCAGCCACGAGAAGTTCATTGGTTAGGGTTTATGTGGATGTAAGTTACACAAATACAAGTAGAAGTCTAGGTTATTTTTGTGATTTAAATTCAAAGCAGGCAGTTTCCGAACATTGGATGAGAGAATCAGTGATACTGGAGCTGCTGCTTTTGGCTTTCTTTTGGCCTTTCCTTTTCAGCAACTGCAATCCTGTCATTAAAACTGCATTCATGAAAGAAACGAGAAGGGTGGACAGGGAGGGAATGAAGATATTGCTCCGTGGGAGGCATCGTTATTTTATTCCAGAAGAGATGGATCGAGCCCTCTAACCTGGTTGGAGAGCTAAGAATACCTGCCATAGCTCTTGTTAGCAGACAGGGGCATGTGCCCTCCATGGGCTACGGGGCGTGGAGATGCAGTGACTGTTCTCGTTCCCGGGGCCTGGGCAGGGCTTTCCTCCCTGGGATGAAAAGATCTCTGCCTTCCGTGTTAACAAAGAGATTTCTTAATTAGGAAGAAAGAAGTGGACAAAATA